ATACGACCCCTATTAATTAAATTTTTTTTATTATATATATATATATATATATATAAGGGGCTGAGCCCCCCTAAAATGAAAATCCTAGAATCGCCCCTGATTACGAGTATTACAATAAAGAAATTTCTGGACTGTACAATCAGTCCTCCAACATCTCACGAAGAATTTTGACTTTTGTTTGAAAGTTTGAAAGAGGATCGCTACATAAAAGTAGCCTACAGAAACAAATACAACAATTTAATTCTGTGAAACAAAATAAAGCACATTTTATGTATTTATTACACCTCCTTGCCTTTTTATTTTATTTTTTGTGAAAGTGTTGTTCCCACTGTGCCATCTGTTGGACCATCAGTTTATAAGTGTGTTTTTGCATGGAATTCTTAATATCTTACTCGGGCCAGGACACTAGGGGTGCTTGATTTGATGCATTACATCACCCATGCCTCATTAAGACATTTTAGTAGTTACAATTGGTTGTCCATTGTTTGGAGACTTGCAACGATCATTTAAGACGGGATAAGATAGAACCCATAAGGAGAAAGTGGTAGCATTGTTATCAAAGATACTTTTGCTGTTCCAAACATAATGTTAGTAGCCTATAGGCTATCAATTGAATGTGCTCTGGCCTTGAGCACGACAAATTTGTGTCATGTTCACAAAAACCCATGGCAATTGTTAAACACCCAGGAATTCCGAATACTACTCATTTGTAGCCTCAAAGACTCATTTCGTTTCAGTGAATGCAAGTCCCTAGTTTTAATAGTGATATTTAGATATCTCATTCGAGCCAACTATACCAAATATTTTTATATTTGTTTCGTTTTAAAAAATTGTCCGTGGTACTTGTATCTGCTAATGATATGAAGAATACCATAATGCTATTTACGCACACATTATTTACAGTATATTTTCTATTGTAATAAATATGCACTGAAAAAGTATTCTTGGAGCACGTTGGGGAGAAAGCACCCCCTTTAAGCCCAACAGAGCTTTGAAGAGCTCACTATTGTTCCAGTGGGTTTGAGAACCGGTCATTACCGCTGATTAGCGCTGAAGAGTTTGACAACCTTATTGACTGTCAGAAAAACTCTTTTCACCTAATCTTTCTGCTTTTGTTCCTTTACACACTAAATAGCGTGCTCTCCTTTCCCCTACCACATCCATGGCTCTTTTTTCCTTCAATAACAATTTGTTACCCAAGCATTATTAACAGACTTTAAACATACAGTTTGTCCTTCCTTCCCGTAGCAATAGTGACATTAAAATAATTTAACCGTGATACAAAACGAAAAATAAAAGCAATTGGCTAAACAATGACAAAACCACAAGCTGAGTTATTCATTATAATAATAATCATATAATAATAATGGACATAAAATCATTTTAGATGTTTAAATTCATAGGGGTTTGAGGTTTTGATTTGACCTTGAAAATGAAAAAAAAAAAAACTTAGCAAAACGCTGTAAACGATCACAATCCCGCAGTAATTCTGAAAGCAATTAAAGCACAAATTAATAAGTAAATTAATAAATCAATTATAGCATTGGCTTATGCATTTTACAAAGTTTTGGATGCTTTTCCTCTCTATCTTGCTCGTTTTGAAACCAAGGCGCTTCGCCCTCTCGTTGACCTTCTCCTGTCAGAAAGCATTACTGGATGGCAAAGCCAATCACACGGGGCGGTTAACGCGTCTGGACACGCAGTAAGCTATCAGGTTAAACACACCACTATAGCCTACATTTACCGATTACTGGCTGTGCGTGAACCTCACACCATTTATACCAGGAATACAGAGGCAAAAGTTCAAGTGGTTTGTCTGCCTAAATGAAGGGTGAATGCAGACACAATGCATTCAAATATGCTAATGCTAAAATATGAGATGAAAAAAATCCAACACACAATGTAGGCTAAAATAACTAAATAATAATAGTAATAATAATAATAATAATAATAATAGGTTAATCATTGATAGAATTAAACAATTGTAGCTTATCAACAAAATAGTTAGCCTATCGGAAATAAACATGACTTTGGTTTAATAGGCTATTGGTAATTGACGAGAATAAGTCTGTATGATGACTTTGAGCATCAAAGTTTTATTAGCGGTAAGTCCTTAATTCACTATCGGCGCACATACTCTAAGACGATCGTTTAACACCGAAAATGACCAGACTGAAATGACCAAGCAAATAAAGATCAGATTCTATAAGAGCAACAATTTAATGCGTAAACACCTTAGAAAACCTGGGAGGTAAAATGTTTCACCATGAATTCCTTTTCAAAATTAACAAAAAGTGTGAATATCATTTTCGTAGGGGCACCTATTTGCGTGAGGCAATACAGATAGTATTTTTTTTTTCGCGTTTGCCCCCACTTTGCTCTCACAAAAATACGGCCTCTGATACGTTAAGGCAGGCACTAATGTGCTTGTTTATCTTGCTGATTGTCTGTCTCGATTTCCTTCGTATGTGTTAATTTTCTCATAGTCTTCCCGTATAGCCCGCGGGCCGGTTCGTGGTGCGATGTTAGATGTCACATTCGCTGTCACTTGAAGTGATGGAGATAGCCGACGCAGCGGCTTTGCTCGACAGGCTCGCTTCAGGGCTCGACGCGTTCCCCAGTCGGTCTACTGCACCTTCCTCTCCAGTTAGGGACCGAACCGAACCATTAGACAACACCTGCTGTTGTAACCTTTAAAAAGAAAAAGGTTGGGGTTTAGATGAAGGGTTTTCTATTAAAACTAGCCTAATTAAAATCGGTGATTAACAACAGTATATTTTTCTGCCTTTTTTATAATAAAAATCGTGCAATGAATGCAAGAACACGTAAACTACTTTGGAAATAAATGAAAATAGCATACTTTAAACGTTATGTATGAAATCTACGAACATATTATGAAATGATGCTCTGCCCCGGAAGAACACGAAATGGGAGAGCATCTGTAGAGCCAGTGCGCGTTTAGCCTACATCTGTTATCTAGGCTTTGTTTAATAAAATTAATGGCGAAACATTTATTCTTAGTTTATTAGTCTAAACACGTTTTAATTAAAAATAGAATGATTTTAAAATATCAGTTTTAACAGTTTTAAAATATAGCCCAATTTTAACGGTGTTACTATCAGCTTTTAAATTTAAACTTAAAACACAATTTGACAGAGGTAAATTATTATTATTGTTATTATTACTACTACTACTACTATTACTACTATTTGTGAGAAACGGGCATAACAAAAAGCCTATTGACATCACGGTAGAATTTCTTCAATTCACAGCTTAACTGTCGGAACCAAGCAAGATTATCGGGCTAAAATGAAAAAGGGCATAATTTAATCTATGTAGCAGTTTTTAGTCATGGTTAATTGTCATTTGGCATATCGAAAAGGACTTTTACTCCGTGATGCAGACTAGGCCCAAGCCATAATAAACACACAAAAGCTAACCATTGATTTTTGGTCAAAAGGGAAGTATGTTGTACGTGTGACGGCCCCTTTTGCGCTGTTTTTCTGTCTTTTATTTTTCTTTATTTCAGTGAAAATGAAAAAAAAAAAAAAAAAAGTCTAGCAAATGTCGGCTTTAATCAGAAAAAAACCCACATTGCTCCGGTTAAGCTACAGTTACAAATAATAACAGGTCACATATGTAGATGTAGGCTATATTTTTTACAGGCTACTGTTGGTTTATTTGTTAACCTAACTTGGGTACTTGGACAATTAACATTGACAATATGTTATGCTTTAGCCTTTCCTTTATTAAATCTGTAGACATTCATTTAGATTGTATCGATATATCTTATGTTAGTTTGTACCCATTTTAGCTAAAACATTAAACATTTGCTCACTGCCCCATGATTGAAATCGGTAAAACACACCTGTTTTTAGCGGCCGCGGCTCTGTCCCTTTGTCTTCGATTTTTAAACCAATTGCCCACTTGAGTGGGAGTGAGTCCCGTAGCTTGTGCAAGCTCTCTCTTTTTACTTGGGTTCGGATAAGGATCCTGGAGGTACCATTCTCGAAGTAAATGCCGGGTCCTTTCTTTAAAGCAGTGCGTCTTTTGTTCTCCATCCCAAATTGTTTTAGGCAGAGGGAACTTCTTCCGTACCCGGTATTTGTCCACTGGCCCCAGCGGGCGGCCTCGGAGCTTCTCTGCCTCCTGGTAGTGTGACTCCAGCCAAAGTGCTTGCAGTTTGGAATGGGACTCTTTAGTGAACTTGTGGTTCTCCAGAATGTGGTAAAGCTCACGGAAATTCCCAGTGTGGAAGGCTACGATAGCCCGCGCCCTTAGCACAGACTCATTTCTGTTGAGCACCTCGCAGGCAGCGGGGGCTACGGGCAGCGACCACAAGAATCGGCCGAGACGCTCGATGTCTCCGCTCTCTTCCAAAGTCTCGCATACCCCCGCTACCTGCTGGGGACTGAAATTCAAGATTGGCAACTGAAACATGAAGGCTTCTGTTTTCCCCTCGGAGTCCTCTTTACCTCAAGCACAGCTTCGTGCTTTATGTGGCTTTTACCTGTCTCCCCCAGTCGAATCCAGACAAAAAGGCAATTCCAGAGTCAGCAGATGAACGTATACGATGCAGAGAAATGGAGATGCCGCTCTATCGGTCTGAGGCTGTCTCGGAGGGCACGAGATTATAGCACAAGAATTAACATGTTTTTTGAGAAGGGAAAAGACGTGCTGGTGCTGCCCGCTTCTGTTTTTCTATTGGACTTGGCAGATTGGTTGCGTAGTTTCCACCGACGCCTGTCGATCACTGTCAAGCTTGCCAATCACGCGGAACTGAGCTCGAGTAGATTTCAGCACCTCCCAGACCTCGACAGCGCCTTTTAGAAAGTAAACATCAGCGACCTCTGCTTTTACCGAATCCCCGCCAGTTAATTATGCTCGATTGCGTGATTTACGCACATTTTTAAGTGAAGCTTATCCGACCTAAACTACTTTCTGAGAATGTTAAACCCTAATGGAATGCTTTCCATTTCCATTCACAAAATGTTATATTTAAACTGTCACTCGTCGGCTTTTTTTTATAGTCTTAACACAGGAGAAGACGTGACTGGCTTTATGTCGTTCCGAATACGCGAGCGCAGACGTATCCGAAGCGTATTGCGACGCGCAAATGGTTCTGATTGAAATGACAAATGACATTAAATAAGATCATCCGTTTGTTGTGTGGATTTTCAGTAAAGAAGGCAGTCGTCAGCCTCGGAGTCTCGCTTGTGAAGAATAACGGCCGCTGACACAAAAAGGAAACAAATTAAGAAAGATTCGTTCCGTTACGCATTCAACGATATGAGCTCGTAGACATCTGACAGCTCAGCGTAACAGTCATTGGCCTGTCAAATTTAATATCGCGCTGTTTAGAATGAAACGAGTCTTAACTGGACAAACCATTCCGCCTTCCAGCTGCACGTGGACACGTGGCCGTACCCAGGCTTTGAAAATTAGTGAGGTCCGGGGGTGTTAAAGAATTGTGCTATAATAACCCCTACAAATACAACTAATTATATACACTATAAACATTTTAAAGGAGACAGACATGTAGATGTTTGTGAAAGATGTTTTCTCTGTTTTGGAGGAATGATTATTTTTAAATCATACCCTATTTATTGCATCAAAATTTGCTAATACATTACTATATTTAAGGGTGGATAATTTTATCAGTTTATTGCAACAATACATAGCTACAATAACTTTGTCTAGTGCTCTTATGAAAGTTTGTAGCATGATTTGTGAAAATGTAACTATACTGAATGACATAGGCTAGCATAGACTTCTTCATTTCCTTCTGTAACCTACTTGTTCTACAGATCTGTGTCTACTAGTGTTAAATGCTACTGTTTTTGACAGCCTTGATAACGTTTATGACAGATAATATCATGATAATTTTTAGGGCTGGTAAAAAAATATCGATATCTCGATATTAATCGATTCTCATTTTTACAGAACGATATCGATTCCTAAATCCCAAGAATCGATTAGTCTAGCCTGTTTTCAGTTAATGGACAGAATATTGAAGGGTACTTCCCATCCAATATATCGCAATAAGCATTGTGCTTTGGTACTTTTAATATGAAACAAAGTCTCAGATTTCAAATTCTGTCCATTGTATTGCAGAATTCAAACAATAAATGCCGTTTGGCGCTGTTTAATGTGAAGTGACAGATCAATGTAGCGCCTCAGTTCAACAAACGCAGTAGCGCGAGGCGCACATGAACTCATCATCTCCTCCACATTAATACAACTTTCAGCACAAAATAAACATGACTAAACATCCGAAGGTAAATTAAAGAAAGAGTAACACTTTACAATCCGTATCCTGTCTCATGTAATCGCTCAATCTGTGTCACTTAACGTCACATTTACCTCAGAAAAACATTCGGTGACCATAAATTCAGTCAGATAGAAAAATAAACTGTAGAGAGGGGCATTTTGCTAAATATATGCACCATATGACATACTCATTATCATTTTTACTGTTCTTCAATGTTTAATTTATGTTTGAATAAATCCATCAAGTTTTTATTACAGCCACCATTGAAATGTTTATATGTAAAAAAACAAAACAAAAACGAATTGACATACGTTAGAAATATTAATATGTAACTGTAACTTTATTATTGTAAAAACTTCATTAATTTTAACCTTCAATATTATAGTAATGTTGTACCAACTGACTCTCATGTATATTTTACAGCATTAGATGAGATTTTTTTTTCTTGAGAAATTTTGGCATGTACTGTACCTGATATATATCCAAAATAATCGATATTGAATCGAATCGAATCGCAAGCTTGTGAATGAGAATCGAATCGAATCGTCAAATTTGTGTCAAAACCCAGCCCTAATAATTTTTGCGTTTCCCTTACCGAATGTCATATCCTGTCAGCAAAAACCTGTCCATGGGCTTTTTTGATTGCTTTCAGTTTAATGTCATATATATGAAGATATAAGAAGACTGCAGCAGACTGTTAGGACAGCAGAAAGGATCATTGGTGTCCACCTGCCCAATCTTCAGGATTTGTACAACTCCAGAGTGAAGAAACGGGCAGGTAACATCATCTCACCCCGGACACAACCTGTTTGCACTTCTCCCCTCAGGCAGACGCTACAGATCTCTGTGCACTAGAACATCTAGGCATAAAAACAGTTTTTCCCCCCATGCCATCTCCAGCCTAAACAGCTAACACGGGAACTATTACCTGTGTTCTGTAATTCATGCCTGTAATTCATTCTCCATCTCTAATTATTGCCCTTCTCTCAAATACATATGCATATTTTTGATACAGCTGTATATATAGAGTAAATAATGCACAAATCTGTACATAAATCTTCTGTTCCAGATTCATACACATTATTATTTATTGTTAAGTCTTATTTAAATGTTTCTGTTCTCATGCCAGATATGTATGTATATGTATGAATGTATGTACAGGGGTGTAGCAGCAATTTTAAAAGTGGGGGGGACAGCTGTCAGGTGATGTGACCCTCAACGGCCAAACAAATTATGTACATAATGTACAAAGTACATTCATGTTCACATAATAAATTCTATATAGAATACTAATTGGCGTGTTTTAGAGCACCCTAATGGCAATTTTGGGAACATGCCATGATAGCTTACAGGAAGCAAGACAGCTTACAGGGACCTATTTTTTATGATATTAGACTCAAAAACACTAACTCTAACCCTAATTTAAAAATAACTGCAGGACTTGGGACTTTGAGACCACTGTGGACATCTATACTTTATTTTTATTAAATAAAGATATTTTATGCACAATATTTCAGTTACACTACACTTAAACAATAACTTTTATCCTAATTCTTAACAGTTGGACAAAAAAAAAGTGTCTTTAAAAACTATTGGAACACACTGCCTTTACCTATACAACAATTTTTATTTAACAATTTGAACATAAAACACTGGCAAGTAGTCCCAGTTTTAAAAAAAACACTGCCTTAAAATAATTATCTTCTTTCAACAGTTCTCACCTGTATAGATTTTGGAGAGGTCGAGCAACTGCCCTCCCCTCTCTCTCTGTCAGTGATAGACCAGTTAAAGTTAAGAACATAGCTGTAATGAATGAAAGTACTAAAATATGATAAAGTATGATGAGATATAAGTATTCGGCGCAAAACAACTTTGCTTTATTGGGAAAGGATAATTCTACTCCGGACGCCAGTGGCGCGACGCGACAAAAGAACCCAATAATCAGTTACGCTGTCCATATTTACATTTACTCATTTAGCCGACGCTTTTATCCAAAGCGACTTACAAGTAGGAGGGCATATAAAACACACTGGATCCAGCGCGAGGTCACATGCCTCATTCTTAACTGGTTCTTTTGTCGCATCACTCGCATCCGGTGTAGATGTAGATGCCCCGTTAGATCAAATAATAACGTAGAAATTCGATCGTGTGATTTGTGTCATCGTGACATAACACATACTTAGCAGTGTTTGAAAAAGGACGTAATCTGCTTTTTTCTGGGGTGCATTTGACCCCCAAACCGCCCAAAGAGCAAAGTGAAACCGCGAACATAACACATACTTAGCAGTGTTTGAAAAAGGACGTAATCTGCTTTTTTCTGGGGTGCATTTGACCCCCAAACCGCCCAAAGAGCAAAGTGAAATCGCGAGAGCAACAGGAGATTTGAAGCTCATGAGAGACGCGCCCAAGAGATGATTCGCCTTGTGATTGGCTGAATGTTAGTTCACTCAAATCTAAATAAACAAATCAGAGAACACAGGCGGAAATATCAAAATATCGGCGGTGGGTAAAAACAAAGTGAGGGGGACAGAATTTTACTAAAAGTGCGGGGGACATGTCTCTCATGTCAAAACTTGCGTTTGAATCGTCAGTGGCAAATTCTTTAAATATAAAAATCGTACAGTCTGTGAGTCAGAACAGCCGGCATTGTAGTCTGCTCTCCCAGGATCAGGAAACAGTCCTCCATAAAATGCACTGGACACATCTGAATATTTGGGTTAAACTGCATCACACACCGCAGCCTTGAGTGAGCGGAGGTCGGAGGCCTAGAGTGAGCTGCGGCCTAGAGTATGCGGAGGCCGGCTTTAGTGAGCAGAGGCGGGCGGGCTTGAGAACGGCGCGGCCAGCGGATTCGACGAAGGAGCGTCTGGCGGGCTTGCGGCAACCACATGTGACGACCCCGGGCTAGACTCCGCTTCGTCCACGGTGAAAGTCGATCCGGCGATCGACAGCGCGAAGTTGATGTATTTCCTCAGCGACCAGCACGGATCAGCTCCAGGCATGACGAAGCGGATATCATCCTCTTTTGGAAGGCCAACCAAAGTAGTTTCGCTTTTACAACGAAACACAGCGCCTTCACGACATGGAGGCGGTGGCAACAGCAATACTACAGCGAGAATAAAAGTTAAGCCTTCTTTCTTTGCGTGAACATTTGGGCGGCGTTATGCAAATCTTTCCACATAGTGACGTAGGTATGTGGGGGCGTGTTAGAACGAGCCGTTTTAGGTAGGTGTTGACTTTAGGTTGACTCTTAACTTTTATAAAGAATATCAAGCCTGAAAAAGTCTCCAGTAGGCGGAGATAACAGCGCAGGCGCTGACGTCACAAGCCAAAAACTCCGGCTTTGCTGTCTACATGATAACACTCCGCAGTTTTTGAAAATCTTCACCCTGGCAGGGGTAGAATTTTTTTTTCCGTTTCAGTGAACTGGTGCTGCGTTTGCGTGTGGACGAACGGCATAACTGCGTAGAAAAAGCCGCGGTTAAAACCGCGTTGGTGTGGACAGGGCCTAAGTGCCAGCGATGCAGTGTTGCCAGATATTGATACTAAAACAAACAAAAAATAAAAATAAATCGAAATTATTTCCAATTCCAATCTTTTGCTCGAAGATCGAAGATAAAGATATCGCTGACTATAAACTGCAACTTCATACTTGATTAACTTTCTAAAGTGTTAAAGGGGTCATATGATGCCGGCTCGTTCTAACACGCCCCCACATATCTACCTCACTATGTGGAAATATTAGCATAATGTCGCCCAAATGTTCATGTAAAGAAAGAAGGCGTGGTTTCAGTAACTCATTAAAGCATGTCAACATATTCTGTTACACCAAATACACAAAATAATGATCTTTAAAAAAGCATCATATGACCCCTTTAAATTAAGTGGAAAAGACTAGTCCAAAAACGCTTATAATAGCTGGATCTGGCAACACGGAGGCTGCGCCCGCGCCCTCCTCACTCACAACTCTATTAAGCATCGTTCACTCCTGCGGCATCTCGCAGTCGCAGCGATCATTTTCATAACAAGGAAGCTAAACATTCTTGCAAACTGTCTAAACTGAATTATACATGTCATGCAGGCATTCAGTTTAACAGA